ACACACACACACACACACACACACACACACACACACACACACACACACACACATGAATTTGTAAACAAAAGAGGTGGTAAAACAAAAAAGCATATGAATGACAGTTGCTATGATAGCCCAGCGTGTTTATATTATGCGATTTCAATCAGTATCTGATTACGAATGAACGCAGCAGCTATGCAGAGTTTGTTTAATTCAATTGAATGCGGAGAATTTGCAGTTGAGCCTATCGAATTGGCTGTTGGTCATATGAGAAATATGTATACAGTTATAGGTCTGAGTTTTGGGCTGATTCTGTGAATGATGTAAACAACAGATATGAATGGATATGTATTTATAATAGAGATACACACATATATATACATACATACATACATATGTGTGGCGACTTACCGATCTTGCGTATCACCCGATATTTGCCACCGATTATGATCTGGGAACGATGTTCCTTCATCATCCGCAAGTTGTCCATGTTGTTGGTATAATGGCTACGCCGTGCGCTCGCTGCTATTTAACAATATGCAACTCTGCTTCTTCTTAGTTTTGTTCTCTTTGATTTTGTTATTGCACATACATATATATATATGTATACATATAAACAAATATATACATATACATATATATAACTATATATATATATACATATATATATTTGGTTTTAATTTATAGACGAGATCTGTTGAAAGACGTGGAAGTAAAAGAAAAACAATAACTGTATTCATTTGTTGATTTTCGATTATTATTATCTTATGTTTGTCATTTGTTTTTGTTTTTTTGTTTATTGGCGCCAACGGAGCAAAAGGCATAAGCACAAGCACTTTCTTTTCGAGCGTTGTTTTTTTTTTTTTAAGTTATTTATTGTTGCTGTGTTCGTTCGTTCGTTTGTTATTGCACGCACACACACATATACATATATATACAGACACTCGCTAACACATTTGCTGTATTGTTTTGTTATGATTTTCGCTGCACTCTCTTTGGCATTTATGCTTCGCTAAGCGATTCGCTTCAATATAAATAAAAATAAATCAAATATAAAACCCTAAAGGGTAGAAACATTTGCCTGCTAATATTGCGCATTTTCATAACGAAATTAACATTTTGAATCGATAGTCGATAGATATACTGAATGCGTGCGCGTGTGCATATGTGTTTGTGCAAGTGCTGGACAACAACAACGGCAACAACAGGCATGGGCTTCTAGTGTGTGGAGCAGTATCAGGTGGCCCCCCTGGCAGGAGACATAAACAGACTTTGCTGCTGTTCGATTATTTATTTTCATAATTGCCAATTTCTATATAAACATAGCCGCTGATAAACGATAAGCAACTGCGGCGACGAGTCACCCAGCCACAATGGCAGGTATAGAACAATAACAACAACAACAACAATAACAGAGTCAACGGGACAACTACATGCTCCGCTTCTTTTACCCCGTTGGAATGCACTTTACACACACACATACACATATATATATGTATATGCAAACGCAGCAGCACCAACACTTTTGCATTGGTGAATATGTACACATACACTCACACACACAGCTGCAGCCAGTTTCCACTACTGCACCTTACATGTTTCTTTTCCATCGCCTTTTTTTGACACAAAAGAAAAAAATTAAGTCAAATTTTAGCCCGCATTTGAACGCATGCTGCGCTTTGTATTACATTTTCGTAGACCGTTTGCAGTAAAGTTGTTCAATTTTTCTTCTTCCATTTCTTTGCCTTGTTCGGTAATTTCTTTACTTTGGCATCAAATCTTACCACGAAACGTTTGCGGACATCAGTGAAACGGTTTAAAACTGCTGTGTTGGGTGTTTCTCAAGGTTGGCTTTTTACTATTGTACGAGGGGGGCCAAAATGAACGACAAAAAAAAAAAAAATTATATATATGCAAGTGTATGCGTGTGTGTGTGTGTGTCTGTGTGTTTATATGTATGTATATATGTGTGAGTATGTGAAATTTCGTAGGAAATTTGCGTCTGTGACAGCGAGGTGGCCCGTCAATACACTCGCAACTTTCGCGTGAATGTCTTTTAGCACTTTACATACGCGCACAAAGAAAAAAAAAGAGGAAATATGTGTTTTTATTAACTAAAATAAAATGGTTAGACTCCAGCAAAAATGCTTTTGCTAGTGCTGACAGCCAGCGATACACACGCACGACTATCGACTATCACAACACGATAGGCCATGTCAACAGCAGTAACAGAGCAGAGCAGCCGGACCAATGCAGTGCTGCATAACGCCGTATGTAAATTTATCGAGCGGTGGCTTCTTGGTATTTCTTTTGGCGCTGTCACACTGTCGCTGGCTTTGAACTTTAAAGGAAACGATCCAAAAATACAAATTTTTTTATTTGTTCTCTTATGTAAATATGGAAGTGGCCAGCAGTCATTTGGGTGTCAAACTATGCAAGTGTTGTTGTTGTTGTTGTTTGCCATAGCGCAGGCTTACCTAATGCTTGGTTGCCTTCGAGACGGTTCCAGATGTTTTCTAAAAATCATGGGTCAGCGCCAATGAACTTGCGGCGCGCTTTTTGAAAAGCTTTTATATACATACATATGTACTTAAATGTATGCAAATATTACGTTTGCATTCTTTTTCCTGCCCACGCCCTTGTTTTACCATAGCTACCTAAACATAAAGTGGATTCCTTCAGTCAGCGAAATTTCCTGAAACCCCCATTTTCTGATCAGCAATGGAACTCGTTTTTTTTTTTGGTCTATATATTTTTATTAAAAACATTTTTTTGTATGGTTTTTATGTTTTTTGGTTTTGTTTTTGGTTTTTTTGTTGTTTGTTTTTTTTGTTTGTAAATAACGTGACGACTTGAAAACAGAAATTAAATAAGTGTACTTTACTCGTAATGTAGTAGAAAGTGTTATAAAAGCAATATTACAATAACTGTGGTAGAATTGGCTCCTAAAATAGATATTTTACAACTGATACCACTTTTTGTCTTTATATTTAAGCATTAATTGATGCGCTGTACCGCTGAAATCTTGAGCTGTATTGGCCATACGCTCCGCGCGCTCCTCCAACAAATTCAATTTCTCGCCGCGCTCCATCGCCAGCTGATGGGCCCGACTGATCTCCGAGGCGGCCGTCGATGCCCGTTGGCCCAGCTGCTCCAAGTTGGGGCCGGGTATATGACGGGCAACCGAACGATTTGCTTTCCCGCTCTGTTCACCAACTATCGGGGAGAGAGTTCAAAGAATGTCTATTACTACAAATGATATACGTGGATTACGCCTATAATAAATCTTTTCCATTCAGTATAAATTCTTTTTCTTTATTCGCTGCTCTCTCTTTGACTGCTGTTTGCTCTTTGTTTATTCTTTCTTTTTCTCATAAATATGGATATTTATCTAATACTTACACAACTCTTCGCGATCCAAAAGTTTGGCTCCACCGCCAAATAGACCCTTAAAGAAACCCTCCTTCGGCTGTTCGGGCATTTCGTGTACCGTATATAAATCACCCATCATCTCCAAAATAAATTGACTATATGCAAAGATATAGATATGCGAAATTATTATAGATGATAAATGTTGTCCATCTCAATTGTATCTTACCAAAATTCCGATGATATCGTGAATTTCTGAATTTCGGTGGGCGATGCCATGTACAATCCATGACCTTTATGACTAAAGCAAAAGATTTTTGATATTCTGCAATGGATGAGAAGAATCCGATTAAAATATGCCCCATACAGAGATCCATTTGCCAGCTTACTGAGTTGTATCTTCATGAACAATGATCTGTTGACCCCATATCGAAAGCATTGGATCCACAATTCCCTGTTTACATTTGGTTTGAAAACTGGAGAAAAATAGAATAATTTTACATCAAATCAAATATGGATAATAGTTCGAATAGACCTTGAAACGCACCTTAAGTCCATAAGCGGTAAGAAATCAGTATCCAATAACAGTTTTAGACTAGGAAGACTATGTACCATTAGATGGCCATTCGAAAGATAGGTTGCTAAGCAAGAGCCATCTGTAGGGGATGGATATTGAATTAGAAACCTAATTTGTGGAGGAAATAAATGGATACCCTTGCAAATACATCAACAAGGCCTTAAAAACAGGTGCCGATATATGGCTTAGCGATAGATAATCATTTAGATATAGTTAAACTGAAGGAGAGAGCTCTACCACCTTGTCAATAGAGTACATAGCTTCTATTAGGGCGTATCTAGTTTTCTTCTGAAGGTTTCGACTTTCGCTTATCGATTACAGATTACGGAAATAATCGATAAATCGATAGCAATTAAATTGATCACACAGAGTGTAGTCAATTAGCAAATATATTAGCGAAAACTATCGATAAATCCATTTGATTTGTTGTTGAAGCAAACGATATCGATAGCAAATATAGTGGATATCGATTAGTTAGCCTTGTTGCTTCTTCTGCAAGGGTATACATATATGTAGTTGCTTTTCATTCTGTGAACCTTTCATCGTGATAGTTTCTGCCTTGACTGCGAAATCCATTTCCGATAATTGTATGCGATTAATGCAGCACTGATTGGCCACATCAAAGACCTTTGTCTGCTTTTCGCTAGCGATAACTATATATTGTCGATCGGTGAGTGTTTCCAGCCCGGTGCTAACGCTGCCGCTGATGCCGCTGCTGCTGGCGCTGCTGCTGCTGATGCCGCCTGCGCTGCCGCCAACACCGGCGCCGGCACCGCCCGTTGCACTTCCGCTGCCACTGCTACCTGTTGCGCCTGCTCCGCTCGCCGCTGATGCAGCGCCTCCAGCACCACCGCCCGCTGTGCTGCCCGCTGCAGCTGCACTACCAGCACCGCCAGCAACCGAAGTGTTTGATATTGTATTGGCAGTTGTTGGTGTAAATGTGGGGCTGGTGCGGCTGCTGCTCTTAGTGGGCGTGCCTAAATGGAGTAGACGGGGAAAAAAAAACAAACAGATATATCGCTGTTCAATGCGGCTCATGCGATTTTCGTTAACAGTTACGATCTTTCTTGTCCCGATTCTCGTCGCGCCAAGGCTCAAATGTATAGGGTATGATCGAGCCATACGAGTCTAAAAAAGACATGGAAGTTATGGAACCTTTGAGTCGTACCACGGGTCCACCTAAACAAAAACCAAAAGTTATTCGATTTATATATGGGTGTGTGAGCGAGAGGGGACTTTACCGTTTATTGTAACCAACACTGGCTGCGATTTGCGCACATCGCGCTCCGGCATTGTTATGAACAATGTCAATATTGAACCGAAACTAGTTCCAATCCATAAAGTAGGAACAAGTGTCAAAATATCTGAAAAGCAAATTAAAGAGATATTCGATAGTGATACGAAGTTATTTATATATATATATTTGATAAATATCGATAGCAATTCAGCTCTTGATTACTTGATTATGATCGATATTTATTGATATGTATGAATTTAATAATTCTGTATTTAGTTTAAGTTAATAATCTCTTCATTTGACAGTAATTGTGCTCAAAATGATCGATTTTGATCAATGCCGTGTTATCGATTATAATCGATATTCATTGCTGTATACTGTTCAGATTAAACGAAGCTTACTTTACACATATTTTGCAGTTCTGCAACTATACATACGACTTTGTATAATTATCGATATATGGTCTTCTTGGACTTGCAAGGGACAAGCCACAATCTATATTTATCGATTACTATTATACGTTTTTTACTTAAATGCCTTCTTTCTATAGCATATTTCTATGGGGTACTTTGCTTTCCCTCTAAAGTATGCTATATAAATATACATTTAGCTCTATGGAAATGGGAAGCTTATGAGAAATAAAAAAATACATATCGACTTACCATTGCGTTTTGCATAACTCTCGATAAAAGCTAAACAGGTAACAGATTCAGAGGAAGACATATCAATGCTTGACATTGATGACGATCTGGATCTCGAGAAGGTGCCATCTAATTTATCTGCAAGTCAGTTTTAGTATGAGGAAACAATTCGATTAATTCAATAAATTAATGCAAATATGCATAGATATATACATGCATATATATATAAGTATATTTATATATATATATATATATACGTATGTGTATATCGATTATTAGATAACGGTACAGCAAAGAGAGTGGCAAACGATTACGAAATACAAATTTTTTATAGAGAATTTTTCGGAATTTAGAAAGAATGAGGCAGAAATAGAGAAAGAGAAAGATATATAGAGCGAGAAAGAGACAAAGAAAGAGTGAGATTGAGAGAGAAGAGGAAAGAAAGACAGAGAGAGAGAGAGAGAGTAAAAGCGGCGGGCGGTAGTAGGCATAACTTTTGCATAATAATTATTTTATTTAATGAATTTATTAATTCTTCGTTTGATTTTTTACTAAAGAAAATCTATTTCTTTTTATTTTTGATTTTAAAGTTCTTTAAATTTAAATTTAATATTTTTTCGCTGCACTATTTTCACTAGGCTGCTATTTATTATTCTTCTTGTTCTATCTATGTATGTGAGTGTGAGTGTGTGTGTGTGTGTGAATGAGTACATATATGTGTCTGTGTTGGGGCCAATCACTGAAACTCCTCGAATACAATCGTATGTGTGCATTTAGTGTGTCTGTGTGGGTGTGCCAATACATTCGTGTGTGTGTGTGTGTGTGAACTATGCAAAAATACTTTTGCCAATGCAAAATTAGCTGAGCTTTTGTTGCAGTTAGTTGTTGCTGTTGCAGTCTTATAGGAGTTTGTTTTTTTTTGTTTTTTTGCTTTTCTTATTAGTTGCTAATTGGAAGCGTGCACAAATACCGAGAGCGAACGAGCGAGCGAGACAGAGTGGTTTGTGAACAAATACATTAACTTATTTAGAGTAAGACAGAGCGAGAGTATAAATAGATTAGGAGAACTAGAGATAGATAGAGAGAGAGAGAGGAAGAGTAAGAGAGAGATAGAGAGAGTAAGAGAGAGAGAGAGAGAGCGAGCGAGCGAGCGAGCGAACGAACGAGCGGTAGAGTGTGGAGCGAGCGAGCGAGTCAGACAAAGTCGTAAGAGTTGTATACAAATATATATATTTTTTGAATTTTCTTAGATTTTTAATATTATTATTAATTTTATTTTTATTTTTTAATGTTGCTGTTGTTGTTTTTGTTGTTGTTGTGAGCGAAAGTGGCGAAATATGTGGGCGAATCAAAGGCGACATTCCTAGCAAACCCCTCCCCTT